TCATCCCCGCCCCCCGGCGGGGCGGGGGGGGCGAGCCAGGACGTCAGGGAGCCCCCGGTTCACCCAGCCCCCCGGAGGCCCGGCAGCCACCCACGCTTGGCTCCAGCTTTCCTACTCCCTGGAGCCATGTCAGGGACCCAGCGCCCTGGCTTGCCCCATCCCTTGGGGGCAAAGGCCTTTGCCTGGCAGCCCGTGAACTCACACTGGCCAGGCAGAGGGGGAGCCCCAAGCTGCCATATGAAGCCCTTGTTTCCCAGAGCCCGTCTTCTCTGCCTCCCCACAGTCTCCCCTCGCTTTGATTGCTCCCCCTGAGGCTGGTGAGCAGAGAGCGGCCCCAGGAATTAAAGGTTAGGCCATGGGATGAAACCTCCTGGGGTACGTCCAACCCAAACCGGTAACCCTAGGCAACCAGGGTAGGCCTCATGCCCTCTGTGGTAAGGACCCTTTGTTTAAATGGCCTAGCTTTATGGCAGCTAGTGCTATAGGGCCCCGATCCTGGCCAGGACCGCGGGGGGCTTCCAAATAATAAGGAATTACACAATTTGGTTCACACACACACAAACACGCACACTGCCTGGGTATCCCAGTGGCTGGAATTTAAGATTTGGCCTATGAACCGGGGGAGATAGAAGGCTGTCCAGTGCCGTCCTTGTGCTGTTGTTTAGCTTTAATTTCGCCCTAAATGTCTCCTAGCAGCCCAGCAAGCAGTGGACGTGTTGAAAACGCTGCAAGATAATATTGACCTCCCGTGGGCCGGTGACTTCTCTGGTTCGGCACTGAGCAGGGTGCCGGACTGGAGAGGTTCAACCTGTGCAATCTGGCACTAACTGGGCTGAGTCCTGGTTATCGGCAAGACTTGTGATCGTGCAGCAGCATGGCAACATGCCTCCCGTTGAGGTTGGGATGGGCCCTTCTCAGAGGGAGGGTCGCAGCTCGGGACCCGTTTCCCCCTCAGTTCACCAGAGCCCGAATTTGTTGACCTTCTGGTCACGCTGAGGCCCTTCTGAGGTGCAGGTAGGGCGTGGGGTGGGGCAGACTAGTTCTGCGGAATCCCAGCCGGGTTTCCGTTGTAGGCCTGGCTGAGCACCTCGTATTGTGACCCGTGGAGAACCTCCCAGCTGGGACACGAGGCCCGCTCACACGGCCCGGCCCAGTCTGGACACGTGCGGCTGCTGATCAGAAGACCTGGTTGGGAACGTGAGAACAGAAGCCTAGCCCGCAGGCAGGCAGCCCCTTCAACACAACAGGCAAACTTTTAAACAAGAAAATCAATGTCTCACTTGACAGCGAGTCAGGCCAACCATTTCTGCCGTGGAGTAATGTTCTCGGACAGCTCCGTGCCTGTCACAACGGGTTCCCCGGCAACCCTTAACGAGCGGGTAGCCTCAATCAGTGACGAGAAGGAGCCCCTTCCAACATTTACTGTAAGGGATCCTTGAGAAAACCCAGCCCTCTAGCTGTAACGCTAAATCTAGCTGCCGGAGCACTGGGGGGAAAAGGCTTTTAATGGAAGACAGGCGAAAAGGGACCAGATTCCCAACGGGGCTCGCTCGACATGACTCCATTAGCTTTGCTGGAGCGGTGCTGGTTTATACCAGCCAAGCACCTGGCCCCGCTAGGAGGAGAATATGCGGGTACATCTAGACTACAGGCTTTTGCCGAAAGAGGCTTTGTGTGCAGATACAGTCGACAAAGCTTCTGTCGACAAAGAACGTCTAGCCGACATCCAGTTCTGTCGACACAGCCAGCCGCTTTGTTGACATGACAGTGTAGACGCAAAGGACAGTGTCGATGCAGTAACACCTTCTGTCAGCAGAACTCTGCCGAGAAAAGGCGTTATTCCTCGTAGAATGAGGTTTACAGCCGTCGACAAGACTGCTGAGTACTGTCGACAACTCAGCGGCAGTGTAGACGCAGGTATCGTTTTATCGACAAAAGTCCACTTTTGTCGACATAACCCTGTAGTCTAGACACACCCTGAATGGCAGAGTTGGGTGAGAATGGAGTCGAGCTGAGACGGAAGCTGGTGTCTCCCCGATGATTTCAGTGGAACTTGGAGGATCTACACCAACCTGGGGTCTGGCCCAGACTCTTAAGAACGCCCCACCTCGCTACATGCGCACAGGCATTCGGAAGGACACTAGCACACACACACATCCCCAGACCAGCTCCCCCGCGCTCTACCTTCCTGCACGGCTTGGAGGAGACCTCAAACGAGGCTTTGAACGCCCGCCGCTGCTGCGTTGTCAGGATCGTCCGGGGCCTTTTGGGACGCTTGTGATCCTTGCTCTCCTCAGCGCCTTTCCCGGGCCCACGGCCCATTTTGCATAGATTCTCTTCATCGTCGCTTTTCCCTGAAAGCATCAAGCAGGCCCGTAAGGGCGATGGACACAGCTTGCTGGCTTTCTGGACGGTGCAAGAATTGTACAGTTCTTGGTGGACAATTGTACATTTTAGCACCCAGATCCCCAAAGGGATTTAGGTGCCCAATTCCCACTTGGCCCGAGGAACCTGAGACATATTGACTTTGGGGATTCCACATTCCCTGCTGCCTCAGTTTCCTGTCCAGACCTCTAACCAGAAAGTGGCAGCCATCGTCTCTCCGGGCAGGCTGGCTTCCCCGAACACAGAGGGGACGACCGCCTTCGGGAGAGGCAGCCTCGCTTTCACACGGCTGAATGCCCCAGATGCCATGCTTTTGGGGGGCCCCCGGCGGCCACCCCAAACATCATATGGACAGAGGGCCATGGGAGATTACGGGGCCTGGTGCAGGATGGCAGCAGGGGTCGCCCACTCCCCATACTCACCACCTGAGCGGCAGGAACCAAAGAGGGCCAGCAGCCTGCTCTGCCCCACTCCGACCCACCAGCCCACCACTCTCTCCTGGCCCACCGCCCTGGGCTTTTCAGCAGTGGCTGCCATCACGCCAGGCCTCCTGTAATCGCCCAGGCCATAGCAGGGGCAGGGTGGAGTGGAGGTGGGCAGGGCCTGCAGCAGGAAGGTTACCCTCACCCCGCACCTGGGGCACCGGGAGGGGTTGCACCAAGCCCCACACCCCCCTCACGATGCCCATGGTGCACTCTTAACTATGGAGGCCCAGCCATGATTTCAGGTTCTTTGTACTAAGCATATAACACAGGTATCATTCTACCCATTTTACAGATGGAAAAACTAAGGCTCAGGGAGATGAAGTGACTCAACCAAGGTCACACACCAGATCTGGGGAAAGCTGAGCCTAGAAGCCAGTTTGGCAGCGATGCTGACGGGGCTTCACCCCGGGCTGCAGGGAAGATCATGGGCAGCAGGTTCCCCCTTCCTGGGCGCATCCTGTGGAGCGTGTCCCCAAAGCTGAACTGGAAAGGGGCCTCCGCTCAGCTGAACCTGTGGTCGGAGCCCCTGGAGAAATGCAGCCAGCTCAGCTTCACCATAGAGGCTCCATCCACACCCAACCACTCAAGGAAGTAGGGGACCGAGGAGCTAAGCAATTGCTTGGCTGCGTCTTCCTCGGCCCAGGAGGCCAACGCACATTCCCTTGATCACAGACGCCGAGAGAAATCTGGGCCCTTTTCTCCCAGCGTCCCTTGTTCCATTTGCTTGCAGCGTGGCAGTGACTGACTGGCTGGCAGCACGAGACGTGACAATGTTACACACTAAGGCTGTGTCTTTGTTGTACCATGGCCTCTTCAAGCCAGCCTCCTGCTGGCGTCTTGTGGGTCTCTCATCATCACCCACTGTACCAAGACAGTTTCTACTACTACAAAAATGGGGAGGGGGAAAAAGGTCCATTTTTGACTGATCCAAAGATACCCTAGCAGACCCCGGAGCAGGCCTGTTTTCAAATGGGCATGGATGCCGTTTCCCTCACTGTTGTACCATGGCCTCTTCAAGCCAGCCTCCTGCTGGCGTCTTGTGGGTCTCTCATCATCACCCACTGTACCAAGACAGTTTCTACTACTACAAAAATGGGGAGGGGGAAAAAGGTCCATTTTTGACTGATCCAAAGATACCCTAGCAGACCCCGGAGCAGGCCTGTTTTCAAATGGGCATGGATGCCGTTTCCCTCACTAGAC